TTTTATATTGCCTTTTTTTTTTAATGGAAAAATTTAAACGTTTAACAATTATTATTCTATAGCGATCAGATGTTTATGTATTTATTACTTTTAGGAATTGCCGAGTTACCAAATTAAGTTTGCATATGAAATACTCACGGAGAAAAACAACTTTGAAACTTATTTCAATTTTATATAATTAAGAAAATGTTTTCTTTATAAAAACCTCAAAATAAATATTTTAAAATAATAGACGAATATCGATTTTTTTGTTTTAAATATAAACACATATAATAATGTAATTTTGTTTTTAATTTTGGAGTTATTACGTCGAAATTATTTTAAATTCAGTTTTGGTTATTTTTTAGGAATATTAATTAAATTATTAGGAATTCTCCCGATGAAGACAAAAGCGAATTTACCGAAATATGTATAGAAATATACAAATAATTAACGCTTGAAATAACAGTTAATATTCCTAAAAAAATAAACCGATTTTAATATATAAAAATGCTTATGAGTGTCACTGTTCTTCAGAATCATCTAGCGGATTTAATTGCTACAGAATATTAGTGCCCATATGCTGCCCTTCTTGACAACGTAGTCGTATATTCCATAGAACTCATCGCAGAGTGGTGGATGCCATTACTTGAATTTTCCTTTCGTTTTCTTTTTTTTTATTGGAATATCTAGCTTTAAAGATCTGAAGTTTGAACTAATAGCAGTATCACAACAACAGCAACAGTAACAGTCACCATAGAGATATATATTTTGTACATTTATTAGTAGAATTTTTCAACCTTTCAAACAAATTGCCGCGTAATAAACTATTAAAATTATTTGCAGCTTCAAAGTTTTCGGAATTAATGGTTGTAGTACTAAAACTGAATCGTTTAGAAGGCAGTTACTAGCAACGTTAATAGAATATTCTTACTTCCGAAATGTGTGTGATGTGATTGTCGTTTTAAATAAATTTTTCCCCAGAGAAATAAAAATTCTCTCTTACTAATTCTGCTTGACTTTGGTTTGTTTTCGCATTGCATTTATTTCGTATACTACTGATTATTTTTATATTTATAGCATTTTATATGGATGAGAAAACACAATTTCAACTTTGTTGTGTTCGCACTTGATTACCAAGAGAACTTTGCGCTTTGGAAGTACAGATGTTTTTAGGAACAAATAATTTGTTAAACGTTAAGCGCAGAACAGAGGCGGACTAACCCGTGAATGGTCCCATGCCTTGACACAATATTTTCCTGCAATTCGAACCTTTATAAGTAATATGAACAGATTTTATTGCCGAACTGTTGTTACGTCTAGGTGTGGCCTAAAGTATGAACCCAGAAGAGTATGTAGTGAAATTAGAATACTTATTTTTTAACGAAATTACACATGTACCAAAGAATACGTTATGTGCCGTTGTCACAGTTCAATAAAAAGGCAATTTGAAAGTTTGTACAACAATTTGTTTTTGGAGATAATTGAGAACGTGAGATGATTATTGATAACAGGTAGTGGGGGTTGTGGTGGTTTGCTCGTGTAATCTATTAATATTGTTTGGAGTTGAAAATAGATTCATCTTAATAACGACTTTTTATTTATATGATTAGGACTTGTATGGAATACCTTTTTAAGAAAATGTATCGCTTAGGAATTACCTAAATCCTTTTCAGTAAAATAAACTTTGAGTGCGAGTAACGCATTATAATGAGTAATTTGTATACATTAAAAAAGCCACAACTTTTATTATTGCTAGAGCTAGAGACAGAGCACTTGTTGCATTGTTACTTGGTAAATAATAGATTCAGTAAAAATTATAAACAAAATAAAAAATTACACAAAGTAACATGTTTAAGAACATGTTATTAGATATTACTTACATGGTTAGTCTTTTGGGTAACAATTCCAAGCACGTGATTATTGCTATTTAGTATCTTTGGTGATCCTGGTGAGGCATTTAGAGATCTAACTGCTGGTGATGAAACACAGGTGTGGTGAACTAAATTCATAGCGAAACACGGTCTAATTTTATAAAGTTGATTGTACTCATAGAGCTTTTATCTGGAAAAATCCTTTATGAATATATACATCTATATTTCAATAATTGCTTTCACTTACAACGAAATTAGGTTGCAATAAATGCTTAAGTTTAATAGATGTTTGCAAACATATGTCTTTATTAAGAATATTTTCAGTTATGCTAACAATGAAATAAAATCATATATTTAAAAAATTTGAATAATCAAATAATATTAAAATTGATAGTTTAAACATAGGAGAAAAAGTATGTTAAAGCTTAACTAACTAAAGTTTTTAATTGAGAGTTGTAAATTTAGAAGTATTTGTTGCTATACAATTTTTAGAATAGGGTCTACGTTCCAACTGGCTGTAAGATCCGAAATAAAATTAATAATTACTGATATTTAGAATATTGATGTATATATAGGCTAACATCAATATTCTACTTTGCAAAAAAAAAGAAAATAGTATTTAAAAGTTATAGAAGGTAAAATTGTAAGTTCATAAAAAATTATAAATCCGATGTATCTTTTTTTATTGAAAATGTTGGTTCTGATGAATAATAATGAACTGTAACTTCACATTTGAACCACATTGCTTTGTTGTATTAACATAGAGAATAAATGAAATCTAGTTCAATTGCTATAAAAACCTAGTGCAACAAACGAAAATTCTATTAACATTTTTATTAATTGGAACCCCAAGAGAATAAATCTCCTGAGCTTTATACAGAAGTGGCATTTACGAAGCAGACATCTGTCAATTTATTACGAATAAGCTAAAGGAGGGAAACTATGCGCATGATGATACTTCACAGATTATCTGCTTTAAAGTAGAGGAATTGTATATAATATCAAAAAATCACTAATCGCAATTAAGTCACGCTATTACAATTAATTTATAGATAAAGGTTATGTGCTTTGCATAAAATTTGCAATACGCAATGCAAAAATTTTGGATTATAATTGGTATTAACTTAAGCATCCAAGCACCTGGAGCTGTGGTATTTCGAAAAAAGTAAGAACACGATTTCTTGAAGGATATCACTCAATTTACTCTATATTTACTTATGGTGCATTCCAAGTCATCGATTCGATGATTTTAACATCATCTTTGAAAATATTTATTTACTTTTATAAATAAATATTACATTCTCGCTGGTTGCAATGTTTAGAAGGATGTCAAATGTGTAGTAAAGTTACTTTAAATTATAATAAAAGAAATCTTTGAGTACATAGATGTAAAAACCCTCAAACCCTTAACCTGCTTAGTTCATCAATACAGAGCAGTAAATATGAAAGAACTTAAAAAATCTGTTTAATAAAAATAACAGTTGGAAAGTACCAGTAGGAAAAAATAAAAATCGGGTACTTTAAGAACATATACTAAGAGATACTGATATGAAATCGGGGTCACAATATCTTATATGATATATAATATTCAAACAAGTAATTAAAAATGATGACATCATGTGCACTTTCATAAATAAAATATTTTTTCTAATAATAATTATTTGTCATTATAGGTACAAATCTTTTAATATATATAACAGAAGCAAAATTTTGAAAATATAAAAATTTTGCATATGATTAAAATTTGGTTATGTTATATTTTTAGTTCATTTTGTATATTGTTTGTGGTAGACAATATTTTAATTATATATAAAAATAAAATCACTTAAATGGCTCGTTATGTTCAGAAACATTAATTATATAATATAATAAATACATTTTTTGTGAAACGTAAAATGTAGATATGTTACTTCTAATGTATTTTAGTCCGTTAAGTACCAAGACTTAACAGTACCAAGTCTGTTCACTTAAAAACTTCCACCTGTAGTACTTACTTATATAAGAAACAATCATAATTGTTCTATTAAAATTAAGTATTTACCAGTGATATAGAAGATAACTATAATAATCTCAATACCTAGATCAGGCATTAGTAATTTTCTGCAGACCAATCAGCCAACTTCCAATCATGTGAGAACTATTCAAAAACATCTTATATCATATGCTTAAACCTATTCTAAAAGAAAAAAAAACATTCCTCCCTACTAATTTAGCTGTCGAACCCTAAACTCAACCACCCAGAAAGCGCACTCTTATCAACAAAATTTAAAGGCATTAAGCTAAGTTACTAAATTGATAGAGAGTTCTACGTAAATAACAAGGCAAAAATGTCAAATAACCTCTTTAAGGGGCAAGCATACCTTAAGTAACGTTTTAAGCTTAATCCTTTACTTCTTATGTGTCGACATTCGTATAACAAAAATCAATAATGAAATCATTACAACCTGTGCGAATAATACAAAAAGTAAGCTACTGGCTCTTATTTAGAAGATAATGTACTAGTTTGATATGTAGCGAATAAAAGTTAACTTAGATAAAACAGTTCAAGTTGTTTACACTAACAAAATATTAACCATGCCTATCTTAATTTCAACAAAATCACAACCAGGAATAACCATACATACAAAAATATAGAAAATTCAGACAACGAGAAAAAAGAACGAAGTCCAACTCAGAAATATACGATACTCACGACATGCAAACACGATTTAAACGACTGACTCCCACAGATCTTAATATACATATACATTATGTTACAATATTTTGATTTATTTTATACCTACTAAGCAATTATGCGAATTATGGGAATTATACGATCAATAAAAACAAATCTATCGAACAGATTTTGATATATTGGCGAATAATAATACTTTTATTCTCGGTTAAAAGACATATACCTATATTTATATACAGGCTTGCTGACGGAAATTGTAGCAAAGTAAAATACTCTATTTTGTTTATATTTGCTACATTTAATGAAAGATAAATGAAAATATGCGAAAACAACTTTAAATTTTTAAGTTAATTTATTTTGTTTCAATATGGCTACCTCTAGCAAGAATTATGACCTTGACACAGCCAATGAAGCCATCGCACGCTGCTCGCAAATAGCTTTGCGATATTTTGCGCCATACTCGGCTTACCGTATGCTTCAGATGATCGATATTTTGATATTTTTTAGTGCTAATCTTATTTTTTAAAATACCCCAAATTGAGAAATCTAAAGTGAACACGGTGGCTATTGTGTTGATGGAATAAAGTACAAAACGTTGTTTTTCAGTCATTCTTGGTTCACGCGTGCTTTGTGTGATGGTGCTAAGTCCTGTTGGAAAGTCAAACGTCTGCGACCGAAATATTTATCTGCACAAGGGTGTAGTGCTCCCTCCAAAATTATTTGCCGATAGATTTGATCGTTTATTTTTTCCCTACGGTGAATGAATGTGAACGGACAGCGACTATCAGCCGTTACGGTGGCCCACATCATAACCATTGTTGGCGTCTGCTCTCTGGTGGTCATTCATATGTTTAGATTTTCAGCTGACCTCTCTGACAAGTAAACTCGATCATTTTGTTTGTTTACGTATTGCTCAATTACGAATACAAACTCATCAGAAAAAAACTAAACTTGACAACCCACCACTTTTGGTCAAACGAACTAATACTTTGGCTCTTTCTACTTTAACTTCCTTTTGTTCATCTGTAAAATAATGTACTTTAATGGCTTTAGTTCGAGCTCGTTTTTCAAAATGTGTTGCATGCTTTCACGCGACACGTTCAGCTCCTTTGCCAATTCGCTTCTATATTTTACCAATCATTTCTGGTGTTGGTACTATATTTTTTTTGGTCCACTTCCTGGGCGCCGGGAAACGCTGACGTTTCTACTTCTTGTATCACGGTATCGAACTATGACACCACATATAAAGCAATCACACTATCATGTTTGAACTCCACCACGTACAACTTCATTTCAATAACATAATCAAAATCGAAATGCCTTCGTACTCATGTAAACGCTTGTAAACAAGACAATGAACTGTCAAATGAATTAATTTTCAAGTTAGACCGATTCGAATAGCAAAGAAAGGCAAAGACAAAAATTTTTTATTTAATTTATTGAAATTTGGCTGACCATACAAGCGTTGTATGGTCAGCCAAATTTCAATAAATTAAATAAAAAATTTTTGTCTTTGCCTTTCTTTGCTATTCGAATCGGTCTAACTTTTAAATAGTTTCTTTCGTCATAAAAAGACACGCCATTATCGGCAAGAAAAAATTTACCTTAAGAATTAATTTTCAGTTTGTTGCCATTATTGATTTGACAGCTAAATCTATGCAAAGGTTGTTGCAATTTTCGATAGCAATCTTGTATATGTTAGTATTGATTTCTGAAGTGATAATTGAGTCCCATTTATATAGGAATAAATATATGTTTAAAATTGTAAGAACCTTGACATGTACTCCTAGACGTGCTCCAGTGCTATCTTATTCCTCTTATTGATGCGTATTACTTTCAAAAAAGTTTAGTAAAAGTGAATCTACGATTCCAAAATTGAAGTGAAAAATCAGTACCAATATCTACAAAATTTTTTATTAGATATTTTTCTATTATTTTTGGATCCAGAGGTCCAAAATGTATCTGGACTAATACCTACGTATTAATACAATATTAGTATTAGACTATTAGTTATGTGTTATATAAGGTATTAGATATGAGTAATTTTGATGCTTAACAAAATTGTTGTTTAAGAGTGTTATTTTTAACTATTTACATTGACGGTTGGTTTCTTTTCATTACAGGGGACTCGACGGTTTTAGCTTGAAAGTTTCAGTTCCTGTAGTAATCGAATACCACATTTTGCAATGTAGGAAAAACCAATTTATTTGCTTGCATTATAAAAGTTTTTATATATTTTTGAAACATTTTTTTTATAATCTGGCAGTATGTAAAACAATAAGTATTAACTCTCTAATACTGTTATTTGGACAGCTTAGCTAATTTGATCGTATAAGCAAAGACACTGAACGGGCGGGACGCCTAAATAAGATTACAATTGCCTGCTGGCTGTGGAGAGGATATTGTAGCAGTTATTTACAACTTTGATTGCTGAATATAAACTTTAGACAGCACAAACATACAGAAATCGTAAAAAGTGTGTGATTTGAAGATACTTTCAATCAATTATTATTATAAATCTGCCCATGGTCACACCCACCTACCATACAAAGTTTTTGATGAAAACTAACAAATACGAATCAAATTTAATGGAATTTTCCACAAATAACTGTTTATGTAATATAAAAACATTTCTAAATAATGGGCGT